TTGTCAGCACATGTGTGAAAGTTGCCAGCACCTGTGTGAAAGTTGCCAGCACGTGTGTGAAAGTTGCCATCACATGTGTGAAAGTTGTCAGCACATGTGTGAAAGTTGCCAGCACATGTGTGAAAGTTGCCAGCACATGTGTGAAAGTTGTCAGCACATGTGTGAAAGTTGCCAGCACCTGTGTGAAAGTTGCCAGCACGTGTGTGAAAGTTGCCATCACATGTGTGAAAGTTGTCAGCACATGTGTGAAAGTTGCCAGCACATGTGTGAAAGTTGCCAGCACATGTGTGAAAGTTGTCTGCACATGTGTGAAAGTTGCCAGCACCTGTGTGAAAGTTGCCAGCACGTGTGTGAAAGTTGCCATCACATGTGTGAAAGTTGCCAGCACATGTGTGAAAGTTGCCATTAACTGAGAGAAAATATAAAACTGAGTGACGTTGGTCAAGTGTTGTTAAAAAATGGAAGAAAATCATTGTTTAATAAGACAAAAAAAAGTATTATCATTTGTTTTGCATTTTATTAATTCGTTGGACAATGGTTTGATCCAAGGGATGAGAGCATATCTCCAGTTTCTTGGATCAGAAACCCATCAGGAGTGAAATTTCTTCATGCTTGAGATATGAAATGACTCTTAACTTTCTCAAATTTATGGTATAAAACTCTTATTCGATATCAACATCCACTTGTATTAACTCCACTTGTATCAACTCCACTTGTAGTACTACCAGTTATATCAATTATAAATAACAAAAAAAGGCACAATACCGTGACTGGAACGATACACAAATAACCCGCACATAGAAGAGAGAAGCTTACGACGACGTTTCGGTCCGACTTGGACCATTTACAAAGTCACACTAACCAGAAGTGGAGCAGGACGGCTATATATAGGCAGGAAGAGGTAGTGGTGGTAGTAGTAGTAGTAGTAGTAGTAGTAGTAGTAGTAGTAGTAGTAGTAGTAGTAGTAGTAGTAGTAGTAGTAGTAGTAGTAGTAGTAGTAGTGGTAGTAGTGGGGAATAAGGAGGAGGAGCCAGTCAAATACAAAGAAAGAGGAGCACTGCAAGGGAGCTAGGTGCCCACAGAGGGAGAGCAAGTGCACAGAGGTGGGTGAAAGGGGAAGTGGTGAAACAAATAATGAAGGAACAGAAACACGAGACAGAAGAAAGAAAGACAACCCAGAGGAGAAAAAGGAAAGAGGAAAGGGGAAGAGGGAGAAGTAGAAAAAGAAAAAGAAAAAATGAGGAGTCAGGTTAAGTCACGGGTGTTCTGAAGTTTGGAGCATTTTACTTAACCTGACTCCTCATTTTTTCTTTTTCTTTTTCTTCTTCTCCCTCTTCCCCTTTCCTCTTTCCTTTTTCTCCTCTGAGTTGTCTTTCTTTCTTCTGTCTCGTGTTTCTACTCCTTCATTATTTATTTCACCTCTACAGAAGACGACGAAGAGTCACTGAGCTCCTCAGGAGTGCTAGAATATCTGATACACGAAAGGAGGCGCTGACCAGGGAAGTGGAAACTATCGAACTTAAGTTAAATGACTCTTACAGGAACCAGGAGAGACAGGAGGAGCTTAAAGCTATTAGTGAAATTTAAAGAAATTCAAAATATTTCTTTTCATATGCCAAAAACAAGGCAAATACCACATCTAGTATCGGGCCCTTACTCAGACAGGATGGGACTTACACAGATGACAACAAGGAAATGAGTGAAATATTGAAATCCCAGTACGACTCTGTGCTTAGTGAACCACTAATCGGTCTGAGGATCGACGACCCAAAATTATTTCTTCATGAATGAGCCTCAAAGCTCCATAAATGTATGCCAGATTTCCGACATTACCCTAACTCCGATAGATTTCGAAAAAGCCATTGACAACATGCCCATGCACTCAGCCCCGGGCCCAGACTCGTGGAGCTCTGTTTTCATTAAGAACGGCAAGAAACCCCTCTCGCGTGCCCTAAGTACACTATGGAGGAGGAGCTTGGACATGGGTGAAATTCCACAGTCACTTAAAACAACGGATATAGCCCCACTCCATAAAGGTGGCAGCAAAGAGTGCTAAGAAACAGGATTGCAAATCACCTGGATACCCAAAATCTGCACAATCCAGGGCAACATGGGTTCAGGGCAGGTCGCTCCTGCCTCTCACAACTACTGGATCACTATAATATGGCCTTGGATGCACTGGAAGAAAATCAGAATGCAGATGTAATATACACAGACTTTGCAAAAGCATTTGACAAATGCGATCATGGTGTAATAGCCCATAAAATACGTGCTAAAGGAATAACTCGGAAAGTGGGGAGATGGATCTTCAACTTCGTAACAAATCGAACACAAAGAGTAGTGGTCAACAGAGTTAAATCGGAGGCTGCCATAGTGAAGAGCTCTCTTCCACAAGGCACAGTGCTCGCCCCCATCTTATTCCTTATCCTCATATCAGACATAGACAGAGATATACATCACAGCACCGTATCATCCTTTGCGGATGATACTAGGATCTGCATGAGGCTGTCATCTGCTGAGGACGCGGTTAACCTCCAAGAAGATATAAACAAAGTTTTCCAGTAGGCAACGGTAAACAATATGATGTTGAATGAGGACAAATTCCAACTACTCCGTTATGGAAAACTGGAGGAGACAATAACTAGAACAGAGTATACTACAGACTCTGGCCATACAATAGAGCGGAAAAATAATGTAAGGGACCTAGGAGTAGTAATGTCTGAGGATCTCACTTTCAAGGATCACAACAGTGCCACGATCGCACGTGCAAAGAAAATGATAGGGTGGATAATGAGAACATTCAAAACGAGAGATGCCAAGCCAATGATGATCCTTTTCAAATCACTTGTTCTCTCTAGGCTGGAATACTGCTGTACATTAACATCTCCATTCAAAGCAGGTGAAATCGCAGATCTAGAGAGTGTACAGAGATCCTTTACTGCACGTATAAGTTCTGTCAAGCACCTTAACTACTGGGAACGCTTGGATAAGATAAGATTTCGTTCGGATTTTTAACCCCGGAGGGTTAGCCACCCAGGATAACCCAAGAAAGTCAGTGCGTCATCGAGGACTGTCTAACTTATTTCCATTGGGGTCCTTAATCTTGTCCCCCAGGATGCGACCCACACCAGTCGACTAACACCCAGGTACCTATTTGCTGCTAGGTGAACAGGACAACAGGTGTAAGGAAACGTGTCGAATGTTTCCACCCGCCGGGAATCGAACCCGGGCCCTCCGTGTGTGAAGCGGGAGCTTTAGCCACCAGGCCACCGGGCCACCACTTGAAGCACTTGACTTGTACTCGTTGGAACGCAGGAGGGAGAGATATATCATAATCTACACTTGGAAAATCTTGGAAGGAATGGTCCCAAATCTGCACACAGAAATCACTCCCTACGAAAGTAAAAGACTGGGCAGGCGATGCAAAATGCCCCCAATAAAAAGTAGGGGCGCCATTGGTACACTAAGGGAAAACACCATAAGTGTCCGGGGCCCAAGCCTGTTCAACAGCCTCCCATCAAGCATTAGGGGAATTGCCAATAAACCCCTGGCTGCCTTCAAGAGAGAGCTGGACAGATACCTAAAGTCAGTGCCGGATCAGCCGGGCTGTGGCTCGTACGTTGGACTGCGTGCGGCCAGCAGTAACAGCCTAGTTGATCAGGCCCTGATCCATCGGGCGGCCTGGTCATGGACCGGGCCGCGGGGGCGTTGATCCCCGGAATAACCTCCAGGTAACCTCCAGGTAACCTCCCCTTTCACCCACCTCTGTGCACTTGCTCTCCCTCTGTGGGCACCTAGCTCCCTTGCAGTGCTCCCCTTTCTTTGTATTTGACTGGCTCCTCCTCCTTATTCCCCACTACTACCACTACCACTACCACTACTACTACTACTACTACTTCTACTACTACCACTACTACTACTACTACTACTACTACTTCTACTACTACTACTACTACTACCTCTTCTTGCCTAAATATAGCCGTCCTACTCCACTTCTCTCGTAAGCTTCTCTCTTCTATGTGCGGGTTATTTGTATATCAACTATCACTTAAATCAACTACCACTTATACTTACTATCATTTAAATAAACTACCACTTATATTTACTACCATTTAAATTAACTGCCACTTATATTAACTACCAATTGTATCATCTACAACTTAATTCAGCTGTTACGAACACAAATACAAATGATAGGCGTGTAGTAATTGGCAGTAAATCAAGTCCCCAGCCAAGAAACACAAGAATAAAGGGAAAGGCAAATACCAAGAGTAAGTTTTGATTACCAGTATATTCCTTCGACTAACACTACTACAATATGTACAGAGCGCTGTAATGCAGCAGTGTAGGCAGATAACAGGCAAATTCGAATAACAGTGAATGAGAAAGCAGAGCGAGTTCACTCACTGGAACTGGCTTATAACTCGTACAATAGAGATCAGTATGTGTACTCAGCCTGCTAGTGAGAGACTGACTCCAGCCAGGGGTGTAAGTATAACGTTAATTCAGCTAGGATTAACCTCTCACCCAGTTGGTTGATGCATAAACCTGACAGCTAACCAGTGTGACTGGGAAGCCTCCACAACAGCTGTGGCCAAACTGCCAGTTTGGCTGGTACAGAGAGAATGTAAAAAGTGGTTATGTGATAAACGCCTACTAAATTGTAATCCTTAGAGAACTCTGCATCAACTATCCCTAATATCAACAACCACCTATACCGCTAATATGTACTACATGTCATGACTACGCTACTGCATGTTGAGATCTACGCTTGGGGGCCAAAACGCAATATGTACTTCTAATAGATTATATGTTTTTTTTATCTGTTTCATTACCTATTGTAAAGTGAACCTGATGTCCAGTGGACCTGTTGTCCAGTGGACCTGTTGTCCAGTGGACCTGTTGTCCAGTGGGCCTAATTAAGTAACAAAACGAAGGGAATGAATATTAGGCCAAGCCGGGTTTCTTTTTTTTTTTTTTTTTTAGAAAAACAAACCAACAACGTTTTTAAATTAAAATTTATTTTTTTAATACAAAAAAGCACTGTGGTAGAAAGAGGTTCTCCAATTATGCAAAGTTCCTAACAAGCAATTATTAATTTATAAATACGGAGAGAAACTCACCACTGATAGTAGATAAATGGTTCAAATCATAACCATTATTTTTAAAAGGGTGGACCGATAAGCCAGAGGAAGGCCTCAGCCAGATGACCAAAAGCTCCAGCTGCTGGTCATCATATAAGTAAGACCAGCGTCAGGAAACACTTGTCCTTTTTCCTGACGAACCTTATAAGTACACACACACACACACTACCAACACCACCACCACCACTACCAGGCCGAGTATATATCGACAAGTGTCTTTGACAACTAATAACTACATACACACACTCTTAGGAGCCAGAAGCTGTGCATCGACCCGTGCACCCTCATATAGGTAAGTACACTCACACGCACATCCAGTTTGCCAAAGGAGCGAGATTTCATTATTTTTATATTAAAAGAAGTTTGGCACAGGTACCTGTTTGCACACGAAAATGCGTCGACAGATGCGGTGAAACCTGACTCACATACAGGTCTCAGGTCATATATGTTCGGTACATTTAAAATCATGATTAACTATTAATACCGTGGGAAGACGGGTGTTGTATGGCGGATAGTGTAGAGCAGTTGGTAGAGGACAAATGTTGAATGACGGGCGCTGGAGGACAGGTGTTGGAGGGCCATGATAAAACACGTAGCAGTTGGTGGAGACTAGGTCCCCGGCTGTTGTCGAAATTCGTAGGACGACACGTTGACAACATCGACTATAGGTTCCAGCTTGTAGTTAGGCAATACCACCTTCTTCTCCGTCTTCCTGCTGAGTTCTTTGCGGAAGTTACTGCTCCATGAGAGCAACTGCAATTTCTCTCCTGGTTGTACGGGTGCCCCGCTAGTGTTGTAAACAGGAGACATATATAAGATCTTTTGAAAACTCTATTAATCACCAATATTCATGTTTTATCTAAGCAATTTAACCATAGCGATGTAACGGACTTACAGTAGCTTCCACACTGGTGCTCGATCCCTCCCTCACACACTGGTGCTCTCTCCCTCCCTCACACACTGGTACACTCTCCCTCCCTCACACACTGGTCCTCTCTCCCTCCCTCACACACTGGTGCTCCCACACTCATTGGTTCTCCCACACACACACACGCACACGCTGTGTCCCTCACACGCACATATTTGTCCATATACACCGGCTTTACCTTCTCATGACTAACGAAATTGTAATGACACGATTGTAATAGTTCAATCCCCACCCGTACCGTGGTTTCTTTACCTCCTCCCCCTTCACACATACATGCTTCCCCAAACACTGGCTAACCTATACATACACGCATTTGTGCCCACTCCCCGACCACACACACACAGTGTTACACCTTGATATCAAATACAGGTTTCACACATTAGTGGCGGTTAAGAATATGATTCCCACCTGTCAGGCTGATGGAAGAAGCGAGTTTTCACGAAGTTGGGTCGCTGAAAGTGGAAGTAGTAGGTGGTGTCCAGGGAGTAGAAACAGTTAGAGGCGTCGACAGACAGGCTCTGCATGATCTCGTACACCAGCCTTCCTATCTGTACCGTACAAGAACACTTATCAAATTTATTTATTCTCATGCAAGGCCGCACTCGCACAAGGACACAGTCGTATAATTATACACTCGCACAAGGACACACTCAAAGATGCACATGCTCAGGGATATTCATGCACATGGACACAGTACCATGGTAACTACCATAGAGGATGTAGGAAAGAAAGCCCACAAAACAAAAACGAAACTATTCGTCGCGAGAGATTTTAATCACATGGATATAAACTGGGATAATTGGAGTCCACATGAGAAGACTCGTGAATGGATAAACTGGAAGAATTAGTCCTGTAGAACCACAGTTCGAGGTGCCGCGACCCCGCCATATTGCCTGCCCCATTGAACGGATGTCATCGTATTACAAAGGTTGATTTGAAGTATTTTTTTTTCCAGTATTCTTCATCTCACTCTAATAGGAAGAGGAACTGGGAGGAAAACAATAGAAGAGATGAAACAGCTCTTAGCGGAATAGTACCGGGAGGCTGAGAAGTATTTTAAACCCTTAAAAGAAGTGGAGAGATAAGACGAAGCTCATGGTTCTGCCAAAGATGTGGAAAGAAGGCAAGACTTTTTAGTGCGTGGAAGACTGAGCAAACAGAAGACTGGCCTGGTGAAAAGAAGGATGAAACTGGAATTCAGTGGTGCATAATTGTTCGTAGCAGATACTAAATCTTTATGGTGTCTAGACTGATAATCCAGCAGGTGCCACACTGCTACCCTTGAGGGATTTTAGAAATCCATGCAAATTACTGACAGCAACTCGTAGTCTTACCTAATCATGCTTTGCCCACTCATCCTTTCGTATACTACAGACTAAGAATCGAATCTTTGAAGGACAGCTCAGTTCCTCTTCTTGCCATTCTACAAAGATATGCTGTTAACCACCTGGAAAGATTACGTGGGTCGAGTTTTACCTGGAGTTTACCTGGAGAGAGTTCCGGGGGTCAACGCCCCCGCGGCCCGGTCTGTGACCAGGCCTCCTGGTGGATCAGAGCCTGATCAACCAGGTTGTTACTGCTGGCTGCATGCAAACCAACGTACGAGCCACAGCCCGGCTGGTCAGGAACCGACTTTAGGTGCTTGTCCAGTGCCAGCTTGAAGACTGCCAGGGGTCTGTTGGTAATCCCCCTTATGTATTCTGGGAGGCAGTTGAACAGTCTCGGGCCCCTGACACTTATTGTATGGTCTCTTAGCGTGCTAGTGACACCCCTGCTTTTCATTGGGGGGATGTTGCATCGTCTGCCAAGTCTTTTGCTTTCGTAGTGAGTGATTTTCGTGTGCAAGTTCGGTACTAGTCCCTCTAGGATTTTCCAGGTGTATATAATCATGTATCTCTCCCGCCTGCGTTCCAGGGAATACAGGTTTAGGAACCTCAAGCGCTCCCAGTAATTGAGGTGTTTTATCTCCGTTATGCACGCCTTGAAGGTTCTCTGTACATTTTCTAGGTCAGCAATTTCACCTGCCTTGAAAGGTGCTGTTAGTGTGCAGCAATATTCCAGCCTAGATAGAACAAGTGACCTGAAGAGTGTCATCATGGGTTTGGCCTCCCTAGTTTTGAAGGTTCTCATTATCCATCCTGTCATTTTTCTAGCAGATGCGATTGATACAATGTTATGGTCCTTGAAGGTGAGATCCTCCGACATGATCACTCCCAGGTCTTTGACGTTGGTGTTTCGCTCTATTTTGTGGCCAGAATTTGTTTTGTACTCTGATGAAGATTTAATTTCCTCGTGTTTACCATATCTGAGTAATTGAAATTTCTCATCGTTGAACTTCATATTGTTTTCTGCAGCCCACTGAAAGATTTGGTTGATGTCCGCCTGGAGCCTTGCAGTGTCTGCAATGGAAGACACTATCATGCAGATTCGGGTGTCATCTGCAAAGGAAGACACGCTGTTGTGGCTGACATCCTTGTCTATGTCGGATATGAGGATGAGGAACAAGATGGGAGCGAGTACTGTGCCTTGTGGAACAGAGCTTTTCACCGTAGCTGCCTCGGACTTTACTCTGTTGACGACTACTCTCTGTGTTCTGTTAGTGAGGAAATTATAGATCCATCGACCGACTTTTCCTGTTATTCCTTTAGCACGCATTTTGTGCGCTATTACGCCATGGTCACACTTGTCGAAGGCTTTTGCAAAGTCTGTATATATTACATCTGCATTCTTTTTGTCTTCTAGTGCATCTAGGACCTTGTCGTAGTGATCCAATAGTTGAGACTGACAGGAGCGACCTGTTCTAAACCCATGTTGCCCTGGGTTGTGTAACTGATGGGTTTCTAGATGGGTGGTGATCTTGCTTCTTAGGACCCTTTCAAATTATTATTATTATTATAATCAAGGGGGAAGCGCTAAACCCGGAGGATTATACAGCACCTGGGTGGTGGATGTGGAAGGCATTCAGGCTTAATTCGGGGAACTGGAGCACAGATCCAATTCCCTAAATCAAGAGCCCCTCACCAACATCAAGGAACCTTCCTTGAGGGGAAGGACCCTTTCAAAGATTTTTATGATATGGGATGTTAGTGCTATCGGTCTGTAGTTCTTTGCTGTTGCTTTACTACCCCCTTTGTGGAGTGGGGCTATGTCTGTTGTTTTTAGTAACTGTGGGACGACCCCCGTGTCCATGCTCCTTCTCCATAGGATGGAAAAGGCTCGTGATAGGGGCTTCTTGCAGTTCTTGATGAACACGGAGTTCCATGAGTCTGGCCCTGGGGCAGAGTGCATGGGCATGTCATTTATCGCCTGTTCGAAGTCATTTGGCGTCAGGATAACATCGGATAGGCTTGTGTTAACCAAATTCTGTGGCTCTCTCATAAAAAAATTCATTTTGATCTTCGACATATTGTCATATTGGGACTTGAGTAGCTCACTCATTTCCTTGCTGTCATCTGTGTAGGACCCATCTTGTTTAAGTAGGGGCCCAATACTGGACGTTGTTCTCGACTTTGATTTGGCATAGGTGACCATATCTTCCCCAGGAAAGACATTATACTGTAAAGTTAAATTATTTAACATAAGCACGAAAAAGTTTTTGTTTTAAATGATGAAAGACAACATTTCGATTTTTCATTGTACTCTCTGGACCTGACGTTGTATATGGGTCATTGATGCATGTGAAGAAACTGCTTTTGTGGAACTAATGGTAATGGCTTCATTTTCATTCAAATGTTGTAGTTCCCCACTAATGTTGTCTCCTGGGTGTTGACTAGCAGCAATGCTGGTTCCGATGAGAGACGATTCAGATGTAATCAGATTTTCTGATAGATTGATACACCTGAAGAAACAACCTGAAGTCACCGTTCACTGCTCTTTTAAAAACAAGAAACCGTGATGTTACTATCTTCAAAACGAAATAAGAATTGAAGGATTTTAACTTCTTCCTCTACTGCATTTCTGAAATGAGTAAAAATAGAGCATTATTTTTTTATACTTTGATTGCATACGTGTTCATGTTAAAAGTAAATCATATCCCAGTCCACAGATATTAAATGGAACTGAGCTTGTAGACACCTTTGCAGCCTCATATACTTAATCTTCCAATAACGATTGAGCATGAAAGGTATCTTTTAAATTTCTCTAATCTGAAAAAACGTAAGATGTAAAATTTAATTAGAGTACTGAACATTCATGTTGATATGCGTAAATTTATATGAAATCACAAACTCTCGGTAGCCGCCTTGATAACCATCTTTGATATTTTAAATTCCATAAAATCCAAGGTTGAGAAAAAAAGGGGTTGGCAATTTGATAGATGAAAATTAATTTGTGACGTGAGCAGAAAAGCCAGAACGAATATAGAAGACAATGAGAAGAGTGGCAGAGCGACCATGTGAGAGAGTTACAGCAAAGGTGAAGTATGAGCTGAAATGTCTCTAAGACATCAGACAGAAGATAAAAGAAAAGGTCAAACTGATAGTACCTAAATATTAACACTTTGACTTTTAGGTGTCACACGTACATTGGTGCCACACACTGGTGCCATACACTGGTGCCATACACTTGTGCCATACACTGGAGCCATACACTGGTACCAAGCCTCCCCTGGTGCTGAGCACTAGTGTCACACACATACTGGTGCCAAGTTCCCCTTATGTTGTAAACCAGTGACACATTGGTGCCACACACACACACACACACACACACACACACACACACACACACACACACACACACACACACACACACACACACACACACACACATACACACACACACACACACACACATGGTACGTAATGATGTATCACAGTGGGCACCTGTGACGAGCGGGGTCCCACAGGGGTCGATCCTAGGACCAGTGCTATTTTTGGTATATGTGAACGACATGATGGAAGGGTTAGACTCAGAAGTGTCCCTGTTTGCAGATGATGTGAAGTTAATGAGGAGAATTAAATCTGATGAGGACCAGGCAGGACTTCAAAGAGACCTGGACAGACTGGACACCTGGTCCAGCAAATGGCTTCTCGAATTTAATCCTGCCAAATGCAAAGTCATGAAGATAGGGGAAGGGCACAGAAGACCACAGACAGAGTATAGGCTAGGTGGCCAAAGACTGCAAACCTCACTCAAGGAGAAAGATCTTGGGGTGAGTATAACACCGAGCATGTCTCCGGAAGCACACATCAATCAGATAACTGCTGCAGCAGCATATGGGCGCCTGGCAAACCTGAGAACAGCATTCCGATACCTTAGTAAGGAATCGTTCAAGACACTGTACACCGTGTATGTCAGGCCCATACTGGAGTATGCAGCACCTGTTTGGAACCCGCACTTGATAAAGCACGTCAAGAAACTAGAGAAAGTACAAAGGTTTGCGACAAGGTTAGTTCCAGAGCTAAGGGGAATGTCCTATGAAGAAAGATTAAGGGAAATCGGCCTGACGACACTGGACGACAGGAAGGTCAGGGGAGACATGATAACGACATATAAAATACTGCGTGGAATAGACAAGGTGGACAAAGACAGGATGTTCCAGGGAGAGGACACAGAAACAAGAGGCCACAATTGGAAGTTGAAGACACAAATGAGTCAGAGAGATATTAGGAAGTATTTCTTCAGTCATAGAGTTGTAAGGCAGTGGAATAGCCTAGAAAATGACGTAGTGGAGGCAGGAACCATACACAGTTTTAAGACGAGGTTTCATAAAGCTCATGGAGCGGGGAGAGAGAGTGCCCAGTAGCAACCGGTGAAGAGGCGGGGCCAGGAGCTAAGACTCGACCCCTGCAACCACAAATAGGTGAGTACAAATAGGTGAGTACACACACACACACACACACACACACACACACACACACACACACACACACACACACACACACACACACAATAAAATAACTTCCATGAAAACCTTAACAATGTTTGTATATTTCTGTTTATGATGTTAAATTTTCTTTTTAATTCAAATAATTTTTTTTAATTCTGATGAAATCTTACATTAAAGAATACTCACATTGGAGGAAAATGTCACAACGATGTAGTCGGCTCGAGACAAGAAGTAGATGTCCATTATTAGGTCTCTGAGCGAATTTATTTTGTACCGCTTGTTCTTTTTCATCACTTGACTCTTTTTATTGGACAGAATTTCGTACTGTGGATAT